AAGAAAAGTCCCATTTACCCCTCACTCAGACTCCCCAAAGCACAGTTTGCTGCATCTGCTCTCACTGCATATATACGTGCGTGTGTCCTGTTTTGTTGTTTTGAACATGACCTTTTACCCTGACTACATCAGGCTCTATTTCCTAAGAACAGAGACATTCTCTTACATAACCCATAATAAGATTATCAAAGTCAGGGCATTTAAGATAGAAGCAATGCTATTATCTAACTTACAGACCACATTCCAGTTTTGCCAACGCTCAGTAATGTCCTTTATAGCATTTTTTGGCCCTGGTCTAGAGTCACACATTGCATCTGGCTCCTCAGTCTTTGTCTTTCATGACTTGATATGTCTGCAGGGGACCACCAGTTCTATTTTATCGATCCTTATTTACACAGGGGGAAATGTATCTCAGAGAGATAGACATTTGCCCAAGGCCCCCGGCTCCACTGTCTGTTCAAACTCAGTCTCCTTCCAACGAGCTGAGGGCCCATTAAGAGTCCAGTACTGAGCCCATGTGCCCAGTGTCTCCTTACAATAAACCCCATGAGGCTCAGAGAGGTGAAGTGACTTGCTTAAGGTCACACAGCACCTAAATGGAGTCTGGCTCAGGCTAACCACCACTTAGAGCTGACTCTTGATAGGGGTCTGGCTTCTAGTTCTAGAGTTGGCCTCAACCCTTAGATTGCGCATCTGTGAAGTGATGGGGAGATTTAAGGACCTAATATGAATGCCCTTTCTTAGTACCACCCTTCGTATGGCATGCACTAGCTTTATTTCAAAAACCTTCCCAAATCTAGCCCTTCAGCAGCACTGAGGACCCTCAGGACTATGCTTCGTATGACCTACCCAGTTGCCTTGCTCGCTTTCCCCCAGCCTTTGCTTCTTTACTTGTAGAGGAGGGTGTTGGCCCCCTACTTCACAAGGCTCTGTGGGCAGGCAGTGGGACATGGATGTGAGCAGAGCACTTGGCATGTGATTGGTATGTTAGTGACGGTTAGTTGTTCTTTTCTCCTCTGCACATTCTCTGTGCTAACCAGAATGGCCTTTGCAGTGCCCCTGGAGTGTGGCCTGAGTAATCTTGCCATACAGCTTTGTGCAGGCCCTTGCTCCCTTCCCTTCTGCCTCTGAATCCTTTCCCTTCTGGTTCCTCAGCTCGGCTGACTGCTCCCCAGCCCCCAGCCCCCACCCCCAGCTTCCAACTCATCCAGCTCCTACTGGATGCTTGACTTTGGCCTCTCCTCTTGCTAAGGGACAGGCTCTGCTCGCTCAGCTAGAATAGGCCTTGGGATGGGGCGCTGTCCCCATGCCTGTCACGGGTGGGGGAGAATCTTAATGTTTGTCCATGACTCCTGTGGGCCAGGTACTAGCTGTAGTTGGTGGATAGAGGGGTGCTCTGGTGGAAGGGCTGGGGAGCGAGGGTGGTGAAGTCTCTCTCGGGGGCAGCAGCTGGATACCAGCCAACTCCCGAGGGATGTTCATGTTTTACCACTTAGTGTGGCTGCACTGAGCACACTGAAATCCCAGCCCTCCTGGGGCCAGCAAGTCCAGGGCAGCAGTCAAGCCAGGCCCACTCCTTGGGCATCTTTGGGACTCCTTCCTGGCTGGTCTCTGCTATCTAGGCCGGCAGCCCCGCAGCTCCAGACAGCCAGCGCAGACAGAGCGCTGCAAACCCCGGGACTGATTAATTACAAGTCGGCTCCAGTGAAACAGTGAGTGAGCCACAATTCTAGACAATTAATTAGAAGGCCCAGGAGAAGGGTTGTCACAAGGGGAGCGGTCACTCTCTAAGTCCTTAGGACCCAGGCTGTGTGGTGGCCACACCACAAGAGACATCTTGGCCACTTGGGGCTCCCACGTTGGTCAGCAAGACAAGGGTGCAGGCCACACTGGCCAGCTCAGGGACAGGGGTGTAAATGGGACGTCTGGAGTCCAAAGGACTGAAGGGCAGGGAAGACCCGAGGATATGGTGGGTGAACCGTGATGATGAGTGTTTGCTTACTGACCGCTTACTCTAGCTAGCCACTGACCCGCACAATTATCTCTCTTAAGCCTCTAGGCAATCCTCATGAGGGAGATGATTGCCCCCATTTTACAGATGAGGAAACTGAGGCTCGTTAAGTACTTGTTCAAGGCCACAGAGCAAGTGATTAGTAGAATGAGGCTGTCACTCCAGGTCCATCTCACTTCACGCTCTACTGGTGTTCCCCACCCACACTGCCCCACCATTTCTCCAGCAGCTAGCAGGGCCTGGGTTCAAATCCAGTCTCTTCCATCAATTCCCTTTCTGAACATTGTCTTCTTTATTACACACCCCCCTCACCCATGAACCTTGGTTTCTTACCTGGAAAATAGGGATCATGATACCTGTTCTTCAGGGCTGTCGGGAGGTTTGGAAACAATGTAGGTAAGGAAACTGGCACACAGTAGATGCCTCATGCACGGTAGTGTAATTGTTCTAGGCTGAGGCTGCAAATGCTGGAAAACCCGAAAAGTGCAGTGGTGTTTAGGGGGGCAGAATCACCTGCCAGGAGAGGTCTGCGTGATGGTGGGGAGATTAGCAGGGACCAGAGGATGAAGTGTATTCAGTGCCAGGGGGCGCGTGGTTTGGACTTGGTACAGAGGACAGTGGGAGGTGCCAGTGACTTTTGAAGATGGGAGTTCCTAGCAGGAGGCAGGCACTGTGCTGAATTCTGGGGCGGGTACTAGCTAGATGTCCATGGCTCTTCTTTGTGTGCTGGGGACGTGGAACAGTTCCACAAAGGGAAAAGTACTCCCAGGGAGTCCTCCCGGAAGGAAATGCCCACTGGCCGGCATGTAGGTGCTGACCCCACCCGGATCCCAGAAGGCCTCCCTAAGAAAGCGCCTGCACGCCGAGCCCACAGGAGTGGGAGGCAGCAGAAGGAGCGTGGGGCAGCATCCAGAAGGAGCTGGGTGCATGGTGGGCCTAGAGGGATCCTGCGTGTGACTGGAATAAGGGGGCGGCAGGCTGGTTTGGGGACGTGGTGATGGAGCCTGCTTGGAAAGAGCTTTCGGAGGCAGCCCAGGGAGGACCCAACAGGCCCCAGGAGACCCCTGTGGAGCTGAGGCCCTTTCTGAGGCCGAGGACAGGGGAGGCTTCTTGGAGGTGGTGTAGTAGCAAGAAGCTGGAAGATCTGAGACGACCACTTCGTCCTTAGCCTGCAGCGCCCCGGGACCCGGCCTATCCCACAGCCAAGTCCTACGTACTTTGTGTATATTTAGCACCAAAACCCTCCTGCGCACCGCCTCTGAGCTCCCGCGCGCGGTGGCGGCGGTCGCGGGCCCAGCAGAGTCCAGGCTGTCCCCGGCCCCCGGCAGATGCTCGTTTGCATAAGTTCCCCCGCCCGCTCGGGGCCGGCTGCTTCGGGCCCCCAGCTCCGTGGGGCCCCCGCGGCCGCGCAGCCCGGCGCCCCCTCTCGGCCAGCGCCCCCTGCCGGCCACCTGGAGCCCCGGTGTTTCCGAGAAGCTGCGCCAAACCTGCGCTTCCCCCGGCACCCGAGGCACCCGCAGTTCTAAGCCCTTTGCCATCTGGGCCCTGATGTCCCCCAACATCTCTCCTGAACCCGTGAACTCAGTACCCCCAGGCTCTCGACGCCCACTCAGAGCTTTCGGGCTCCGGTGTCACTGTTCGTGCAGATCCGCCGGCCAGCAAGTCTCTCCCCCGCCCCCGCCCCCCCCCCCCCCCCGCTCCAAGGACACGAGGTCAGGGCCCGCCCCAGCGGCCCCCTCCGGGCAGCCTTCCCAGACCCTCCTCCCGGGGTCCCCCAGGACCCCAGGCCTCCGAGACCCCTCTCTACACCTCACTTTGGGGGAAAAGCTACCAGCGTGCCTTTTGGGGGGGCGCTCAGGTGGGCGCCTCACTCCCTCTTTATCCCTCCCGCCCCCCAGGCCATTTACAAGATGGTTTCGTCCGTGATGAAGATGCCCGAGGACGAGTCGACCCCGGAGAAGAGGACGGAGAAAATCTTCCGCCAAATGGACACGAACAACGACGGTGAGGGGCAGGGCGGGCGGGGCGGGCCGGCGCCACCCCCTTCCCTGTCCCTGCTCGGCTCTGCCCCCCCCGGGCCCCCCGGGCCCCCCGTCACCGCTGTGCTCGCCCGCAGGCAAGCTGTCCCTGGAGGAGTTCATCCGCGGCGCCAAGAGCGACCCGTCCATCGTGCGCCTGCTGCAGTGCGACCCCAGCAGCGCCTCCCAGTTCTGAGCGCGGGGAGCCAGCCCCCCGCCCCGCCCCTCCGGCCCCTCCCGGCTCTCGGCTTCCCCTCCCCCGTGTGTGTCCAGGCTGGGGGTCCGGCTGGGCCCCGCCTCCCGTCCGCGCTGCAGGGCGCCTGTGGAGGAGGGAACCCCGCAGTCCCCCCGAAGCCCAAGCAAGCAAGTGGTTAGCACCCCTCAATTCAAGAGGCAATACTCCCTTATAGTGATAGAGACACGGGCTCGGACCCCCCAGCCAGCCCTCTCTTAGGGATATTTGAGAACTGCAGCCGGCCCTCCTCCGTCTCCCGCCTCCTGCTGCCGAGCCCTCCCGCCCCTCCCCCACCAAGGCAGCCTCCCCTCCCCGAGCCCCAGGGCAAGCTCCCACCCCCTCGTGGATCTCAGCCTGGGCGGAAGGGGGAGGCATGCCCCGGCGAGCAGCCTGTCTTTATTGGAGGGCATCAGGGTTGCAGAAGTGTGGGGGTTTGAGGACAGCTTCCTTGAGCCATCTTCCCTGCAGGAGGGCCGCAGCCCTTCCTGCCCAGCTCTTGTTGGCCGGGAGGCCGCGATGCGAAAGGATGACCCCTGCGCCAGTCCCCCAGCTGTGGGCTCCATGCACCCCGCCTGCTGTTCAGCACGGATGAACACACAGACCCACGGCCCCCTCTGTATTTCGCCTTTCTCAGACACACTCACAGGCCCACATGCAGATGGGAAGACAAACCCGGAGCCCCCGCCCGCCCACAGCCCCTGGCCAGCCCCGCCCCGCATGCACCGCGTGGAGCATCTCTGTCTTTTTAATAACTTCAGAATAAAGTCTCGTTTCAGTGCAGTGGGCTGGGTGGCCAGGGATTGAAAACCCCACGTGTGGGTCCCCTTGTGGCCGCTGAGCCCTCTTGGGCAGCTCTAGGAATCCCTGGCCTGGTCACAGTGCAGACTTGGTTGCGGGGCCCCGGGGGCTTGGGCCCCGGCGAGGCTTCAGCTGTCAGAGGGTCAGCGGCTCCAAGCTGGTGCAGCTCAGCAGGTCGCGGCCCTCCACGGGCTCTGGGCTGTCTTGTATCTGCAGAGACACGGGAGGCTGCCGGGCTGGGCTGGGGCTGGGTCTCCCCTTCCAGGGCACCCAGGGAATGGGGGCAGAGGAGGTCCGGGAGGTCTCTGGGGCAGGGGCATCACGGTCCTTCCACCCATGCAAAGGCCAGCTCATCTGCTTGGAGCACCCACAGCCTGAGCTCAGACCGCCCTCCCTCTCCCTGGGCCTCGGGAAAGCCAGGTGTCAGCTGGGAAATCTGACTTCTCCAAGCCTCCCCTTTGGTTTGGGGGTGAAAATGATTGCCTGGTTCTCAAAGGGGGGGTCCCCCAGAGAGGAGCTGGGCAGGAAACATGGAGCCCCTGGACATGCAGGAGCAGGGCTGAGGCAGGGTGGGGGGGGAGCGCCTTACCGCGTGGTGGTGGTTTTTTCCCCACCAGGGCCTCAGCTCCAGCAGCCCGTGGGCGAACTGGGCGCAGCGCACAGCGAACACACTCTCCACCACGCAGAACACTAGTGAGATGCCCCAGAGGCACAGGCTGGAGCTCTGTGGGGACACAGGGCGCAGAAATGGCTGCCTTGGGTCGGGGGTGGAGGGCCAGACTCCAAGCACGTCTCTGCGGGGGGGGAGCGCCCCGGGTGTCCCCCGCCCGGCTGAGTTCTCAGCACTCACATAGATGCGCGTGGGGTCGAAGGGGCAGTCAGGCGCCAGGGCCAGTAGTCCGGGGCTCCCAAAAGTGCAGGCGGCCAGTAGTGCCCGGCCCTGGGTGGCAAAGGTCACGGCGATGGAGGCCAAGAGGCCAAGAGCGCAGGTCAGAGAGAGAAGGGCGCAGGCCGCACTCGAGGTGAACACTGTCCAGCGCTGGGGGGGGGAGGGAGGCCACTGGTCAGGCCCCTGGAGGTGACCGCTGGCCTCCCCTCCCCCTATAGGCGGTGCCACATACCAAGGGGATGCTGGGGAGATAGCGGGACAACACGATGGCGGCAATACCCGAGGTGATGACCTGTGGGAAAAGTTCAAACCAGTCCCGACGGGGGGCGGGGGTCAGGGCCACTCTCGGATAAAGATCCACCCATGCCCACTGTAGCCTTCCAGCTCCCCACTCTTCATTACTCCATCTGCGCGGAGGTGATGCTTCAACCACCACTGCCTGCCTACAACCTTCTCTGGCTCCCCACTGCCTCTAGCTGTGCCCCTCACCAGGACCCTGTGTATCCCAGAGTCCCGGGAGCAGTGCTGAGCCACCAGATACGGGTGACATGTCTACCTGGAACGGGAAAGATTTTGGAAGAAACTAGTAACTCAATGGCAAGGGACTAGAGTAGAATTCAAGGCCCCAAGGAGCATTTTTAAGTTATCCCAGCCTCTCAGTGGGCTGGCCCCGGTTCCATCAGCTCCTCAACTCCACCCTGGGCCAGGCTCGGCTCTTTCCTCACTGCCCTGGGCAGAGCCTGCACAGAATGCACCGGCATTGGCCTTCTTGGGAACCCCCTTCTGCTCCTCTTTACAGGCTCAGCTCCCTCCACCCTCCAGGCTCCCCAGCCACCTGGGGTGCGCGCCTGCCCCAACCTGCTGTTTAGCCTACTGGATGCGCTCTGGGCCTTTTGGGTTCTACTCAGCCAAGCTTCCCAACGGTTCCCTCACTGTGCCAGGCATGGCCTGGACCCATGGGAGGGAGGTTGGGGGGCCTGGGTTCAAGACTCAGCAATGTCTTCACTTCACTGTGCAGCCACATGCAAATATCCCAGCCACTCTGGGCTAAGTCTCGCTCTGCAGGGTGAGCTCATGGGAAGGACATGGCCTTGGTGTCAGACACCAGTTTCAAATCCAACTCGACTTCTTTGTGTCAGTGGCCGCTGGGTGAATCCCAAGCCTCAGTTCCTGCTTCTGAATGATGGGAATCGTAATGGCTGGAATTTCATGTCGCTAGAAGCGGTAAGGATTAGCCAAGGAAATGAAGGCAAAGCTGAAGGGGTTCGGCCCACAGCCCATACCCGGTGAACCTCCTAAGCGAGCTCACTGCCTTCCTCACAGGCTGGTGAGAAACAAATGAGTGACGAGTGACTCCAAGAGAGACTGCACAGCCCAGCCTGTCTCACCGGCGGAGGCGCCTGACTGGGCCTCGACCTTGTCCTCCCCGGCCTGGAGGCCAGCCGGCTGTCTGCACTTCATTTTGCAGGGGAAGGAACAGACTTAGGGAGGGAGGTGGCCCCTCAGCCAGGAGATGGCAGGGAGGGGACTCAGGCACTTATGTGCAGATGTTTCCCAAATTCTGCTACACTTGGAAAAGGGCTTTTGACCTTGTCCTTCATATATTCATCAAACAGGTACTGACTTTGGTCATAACATGGCGCTGCCTGTCTGTAGATCATCCCTAATGCTAAGCTCCTAAGTTGATTTTCTCAGTGTTTCCAGGTCAGATCTTAGCTATTCCCACCATCACTTCTTTGCCTCTTCCGTTCTCTGTACTTGGGATACCTTCTGTCCCAGCTTCCTCTTCTACCTGCTGGCACCGGCATGTCTCATACTTGGTATGGTAATTGCAGCTCATCTGTGAACTCCTACTCATCCATCAATACCCCGCTCAGAAGCCTCCACCTCTAGGCACCTTTCTGTACCCTCCTGAGCACCTTCCTTCTGTCCAAAGTTGCCCTGACTACTTCGGGTTGTGATGACGGTCCTAGCTCACTGGAATGGGCACTAACCATGTGCCTGGTCCTGTGCTAAGCGCCCAAGGTGGATGGCCTCTGTCAGTCCGTCCCCAGGTCCCTCCAGGGTGGACACTGGTACTATCCCCATCTTACTGATGTGGAAGTGGAGGCAAAGACAGGTTGATGACTTCTGTGGTTGGTGAGAGTCTGCAGAGCAAGGGCTAGTGCTCAGGCTCTTTGCTTCTCACCCCAGGCTCTGACTAAAGACTTTTCAGTCCCCTCCAGCCCCCTCCTGCTCCCTCCTGCCAGACCTCTCCCGGCCTGGCCATACCAGGATGGCAGAAGTGACGGAGAGGATGTTGACCACGCAGTACTGCAGAGCCACGGCATCGTGGGGGGCAGCCACGTAGCGTAGCACAGTGCCGTGGAGCAGAGCGGCTGCGATGAAGCTCACGTGGCCCAGCACCACCAGCACCAGCCCCGTCTTCATCAGCACCCTCCGGAAGTCACCCACGCTCGAGCCACCTGTGGGGACAGCTTTGTCAGGGCCGCGGTGGGGCTCATCCAGCTGGACAGAGGAGAAAACGGAAGCCCCGAAGGGAGTGGTGGACCTTGGGTCCTAAATCTATTTCTGAGTGGCCTAGAGTGAGTAATTTGTCTTCTCTGAGTCGGCTTCCTCACCGGGAAAAGCACACGGGTGGCACTTACTACAAGGTAGGAGTGCTTGTGAGTGCTCAGGGTCACGGGTGGCACGGCCAGGATTTGAACCCAGGTCTCCAGCTCTAGACACACGGTCCTTCCACTAAGCTGCGTTCACTGGTGTAGTCATCTATGTGCTCATCCCACTCCGAGCGCCTGCTCTGCGCCAGGTCCTGAGGCCCCAGGATGAGCTTGACAGTCAGTGTCCAGGCCCCCAGGGAGCCCTCGTTCACTGGGCAGGGGTCACATCTTGCTTGGGATTCAGTGGGTGGACGGGGCCTGGCACACAGTAGCTACTCAACTTACAGTTGCAGAACGTACTGCCCAGAGCTGGGTGACTCAGGGCAAGACACCCCAGTCTCTGAGTCTCCATTTCCGCATCTATAAAATGAGAAGAGTCACCCTTGTCTCGGTGGGAGAAGAGGGTCCAGGAGGAGAAGGATGGGAAAGCAGGGCACGCCCTGGGGAAAGCTCTGGGTGCAGGGGCACTGGGCAGGGGCAGGACGAGTGGGGTAGCCAGGGATCAAAAGAATATTAGGGAGTCACATGCAAATCTGAGGGGCCAAGTGGCTGCCCTGCCCCATCTGCACACCCCTAGGAATAGGGACCCTTTTCCAGCAGCTCAGACAATTCCAGATCTGCTCTACAATTTCCCCCAGGGGTCCTGGCTCTGACCCCCAGGACTGATACCATGCTGACCTCTTGGCCTATCAGTCCCCTCACTCTAGCCAGCTTGGTCAGACAGGCCAGGCCCCCAGAACTAAACAGCCCCATCTCCCCTTAGCTGCTCCGGGTGGAACCTGGCGGTGAGTCCCTTCCTAGACCTGTCTCCCCGTCTGTACCAGAGAGTTGAATCTTATTTCCTATGTGGGAGCTCTGCAGCTTTATAAAAAAAAAAAGGGGGTGAATCACTGGATTGGATGTTCTTGAGGCTCCTGTGCCAAGTAGTCCCCGGGGAGAGGGCGAGAGGGGGCTACTCAGCCACAGACCCTCTGTGTGACCTTGCACCACCTTTCCCCTTTCTGGGCCCCAGACTCCCCATATGAAAACTGGGGAGAGTTGTTCCCGCTGGCCTCTGAGCCCCCCTGGAGCCCGCAGGGCGCTCTGGAGCTGGACCAGGCCAGCAGGAGCAGACGGCTGCACAGGCGCTGTGGATGTGCAGTGGCCTGTGGCTCCTCTGCTGGTCAGACAGGTACGGGCGCAGCAGCTTTGCCCCATCTCGCTCCGTCCACCCACCTGCCCGGGAGCTCAGGCACCACCCGGCTCAGGGCTGGGCTCGCGAACAACAACAGCATCCCAGGACCAAGAGTTTGGCTAAACTGGAGGCACAGCGCCGGCCTGGGGCAGCGCCTGGAGCACTGGATGGGGAGCCTGGAGGTGGTCCCTGGCTTCTTTGCACCCCTGTGAGCAAGTGGCAAACACTACTCTTAGGAGTCCACGTCATCCTCAGGGTGGCCCTGGGAGGTGGCGGTACCCGGCTTACAGATGCGGAAGCCGAGGGTCACAGGATCTCGTAGCTGGACAAACGCGCCTCCTGGGCCTCCCTCATGCCCAAGAGCAGCACCTCTGACTGGAGAGGCCACCAGCTCTGCTTCTCTGTCCAGAATCCTGTTTGCCAGCGTCTCTCCCCTCCCCGGCTGCAGGGGGCAGTGGGGGGTTTGGAGGTGACAGCCTGTTGAAGGCTGCGCAAGGGGAGACCTGGACAGGCAGCCTCGGGTTCCAAAGCCCCCGAGTCCTGGATTCTCTCCCTCTGGTCTCCCTTCAGAGCCAGGAGGGGGCTGCTCCCCAGCAGCTCTTCTCCCTCCTTTGGGAGCGGCTCGGGAGGGGGTTCTCTCCTCGGGAAAGGAAAGTGGCAGCGGGAGAGGCGGCTCAACTCGAGAAGATGCCGCGGGTCCTCCCTCCCGCGCGCGACTGGAGGAGCTGAGGCGCAGGGCTGACCGTGGCCGTCGGAGCAGGCGGCCCGCACCCCGGGGCTCCCGGCTCCCGCTCCAGTGCTCGGCGCCTCCCGGGCCGTCCCCACCCGCGGCTCACCAAGGCGCAGACACATCTCGGCTCCCGCGCGGGGTCTCCGCGGCTGGCGGGGCTCCCGAGCCTGCGGGCGGCCGGGGCCCCGAGCGCCCATCCTGGTCGCCGCCCGCGCCCCGCAGAGCCCGCGCCGCGCGCACTCCCAGCCTGGAGCCGGGGCTCGCGGGCGCCGGGCCGGCCTCCCTTCCCGGCACCCCCGGCGGCCCGCCCGCCCGCCGCCTGCTCCTTCGCACCGGCCGGTCGGACCGGCTGGGCAGCCCTGCGGGGCCCGCCCCGCTTAATCACCGCGCGGCCGCACCCGCCCGCGCGCGCCCCTCCCCGGCACCAGGCCGCACCCCTACAGCCGGGCCCACGGCCGCCCCGCAAAGGCCCATTTTACAGACGGAGCGGAGACTCCAGGAGCGGCCGGCACGCTGGGAAGTGAGCCGGGGCTGCGCGCGCGTTCCCTGTGGTCGGCACCTAGTAGACCCCGCGCGATGGGCCCACGGCGTGAAGGGGAGACGCCACTTCTTTCTAGAGGTTGGGGGGGCCCAGCGCTGGGTGGGGAAGGAGCACTGCCTGGGGACCCTGTGTGTGACCTCGGGCAAGTCACTCTCCCTCCCTGACCAGCCTGGGAATCCTACTTGCCGAGCCCGAGGCTTGCCTCCCGTGCCGCTGGCAACGGCCTTGAGGCCAGGCGCTGGCTTGACAGTGTGCGGATGCTCAGTCGGAGCCCAGCACAGCCCATGACCACACTGGCCTCTCTGCACACCTGTGCCGGTGCTGGCTGTGTGTACGCGCTGTCTGGGTCAGCACAGGCCTCAGAATGCAAAGGGAACCAGGTCTGGGAAGGCCCCTGGGGCCTCTGAGACCACCAAAGCCAGGCAGACTGGTGTGGTAACCCCTCTGCAGAGGTGCTTCCCTGTCTGAAGTGGGACAACACTGCGTGCAGGCAGGGAGGGGAGACTTACAAGGCAGAAGGCCAAATGGGGAGAGTTCATTACGCCATCAGGCCAGCACCCTCCCAGGCTGCCACTGGAATGTTGATGTCCATGGAGACAGCCATTAGTAAGGCAACTGGGCAACTGGGCAGTACTTATCCATACTGTAGAAGGCCCAACACTTGTTATCTGTGACCCAGCAATTTCTAGGTCTTTATCCTCTACACTAGATGGTGTGGGGTGATGTTAAGGGGGAGCCGTTCCTAAGAGCCAGCAGTATGGCACCAAAGTGTAACAGAGGTGCAGCCCTGTGGAGGGGAAGGGTTATACTTTTTGTTTTGCTCATGGCTGCGTTGTTGGATTCTACAATGAACATTTATTCAAGTCTTGCTTTTGTTAAAAAGAAAAGGCCCTTCATCAGCACCACTCTGCTTCCACTCCGTCAGCAACGTTCTGATGAAAAGGCTACCTCCCGGGGATGGCCCTGGAGAGCACACGTGGTCAGTGCAAAGTCAATGGCAAACTTCACATGTGTGCATACCTGTGGCTAATCTAACATCAGGCAGGCCATCTGTGACATTTGGAATTATGTTGGGAACCAGATCTTTTACCCGTCCCTGCTCTGAGAGGTGTAGAGGGAGATTCTTTTATTCTTGGAACAACACTGAGAGTTAATGGTTGTCACCCCATTTTACAGATGAGAAAATCGAGGCCCAGAAAGGTAGAGTTTTTCAAGTACCACACAGCATATGTCAGTGGTAGAGCTGAGGCCTGGCTAACTGAAGGCTGCTCCTGGCTTCTGAGTGTGGTGGGGGACAGGGCGAGGGGGAATCAGGAGAGAGTGGACCTGCTCTCCGGGGCCTCTGAGGAGGGAGAATAGTTCCACCAGCTTCTCCCCAGTTTCCCAGCCTGGCCCAGGCTCTGCGGCCTGAAGCTATTACCACTTTTCTTCTTTACTGCCAAATGGGCAAAGTCCATTAGTCTCAGCCACCTGGTGCCCCTCGCCTCTGCCCTGCCTGCACGCATACTGGCTGCAGGCTCCGGGAAGAGCCCCGGCCACAGCATGAGCCCCTTGTCCTCCAGCGGCCCACTCTGACACCTGGCAGCTCACTGCTCTTCCCTGGGCCTCCGTGTCCCCATCTGCCAAGTGGGGATAATGACGGCTTCCCTGCTTCCCAGATTTTGAATGTGTAAACAACTCGAGAGACATGAGAGTGGGTTGAAACCCAGACAGCACCATTAGTAATTCTCTGTCCTTGGAATGTGAACAACCAGGTGTGGCCGGTGCATGTGGACTGGAGGCTGCGTCTTCGAGGTAGGCTGTCCAGCTGACTGAGGGAGGGAGGGGGTCCAGGATCCCAATCCCTGAACAATCCCTCCTCACCTTCAAAAAGCTCTTCTCCCCCTAATTATAAGATCAGTTCCTCTGCATAAATAATCCCATACCAACCCTGCCCTACTCTGTTTTATCTATGTATGTAGGTGCCCATGAAACGAAGAGTCAGTGATCTACTTGTCTAAGAAGAGGAGGTGGTTAAAGGGAATTTTAGCAAATTCTAGATGGTGCCAACGAGACCACTTGTTCTTCTTTGTATATGTGTGTGTTTTATCTTTCACGTTTCCAAAGGAGAAACTAAACCATTGTAGAAAACTTGAGGGAAAACAGCACATATAAACTACTTGTAAACCTCCCTGCCCCTCGGACACCCACATTTTATCCTTTTTCCCTCTGTGTGTTATCATTTTCTCCTTCTCCTCTGAGACTCCTGCCATGTGGTTCTCTCCTGCTACCCCTTCTCATCCCTTGTCTGTGGCACCCTCCTCCCTGTCACCTACTTTCACCATCAAGGACTTGGTTTTCCAGATCTCAGGGAGGGGTTCTGTCCTTGTGTCCTGCTTGTCCAGGAGAACAGCTCTCCAGTTCCCTTCTTTGACCTCCCCGGTAACCTTCGTCATGACCCCAGCCACCCTCTCTGGAGGCCACGCCTTGCCTGGACTCTGACATCCCAACCTCAGGCATCCCAGAGAGGCCTCTTCTGAGGCCCGTCTGTTCTCAGAATCCAGTGCCCCAAGCACGGACTTCACAGAGGTCGCTGGCCCTTCCGTTCACGGAGGCCCTCCTGGCCTGCTCTCCACCATGCGGACACTATGAAATCTGGCTCATGAGTTGCTGCGGACCAGCACAGCAGTCGACGATGAGGCCACCTCAGGTTGAGAGAAGCGTGCAGGGTGGTCAGGGCGTCGGTGAAAGAAATGACAAACAGACACACTTCAAGAGTGAAAATCTGAGTGTAATTTTCTTTGAGTTTGTGACCAGTATATATATGTTTTCCAAAAGCACAGGAATGAATATCAAAGAAATTAGCTTGCTCCTGGGCTCAGTCTATCACCATCAGGGAGGTGATCTACATAACAAACAATGACCATTATAGAAGAAAGAAGGAAGTTTAGAAAGACAGATAAGGGATTAAAGTTTGTAGTTCTAGAAAGACGGGATAAGATTTTTAGCATTCTTGTAGTGGTTCTTGGTGGTCGTTATCTTTTGATAAGCTTCTGCCTTTTCAGGGAACTTCCGCTGCACTTCTTCTGCTTCAGGCTGTTCTCCCCCCTGCGCGCTGGTTGCCCAGCCCGATCTAGGGACCATGGCGAAAGCCATTCCTAAAGATCACTGCGGGGGGAGGTGCAGCAGGTAGGGTTTTGCTGTTCTTCCCCTGCGTGCTGGTTGCCCAGCTGGACCTAGGGCCGGTTAGCCCTAAAGGTCACTGCAGGGGGAGGTGCAGCAATGAGTGATGGAGAAGTGTAGGGAGCTTGGCCCAGGGGGCAGTGGAGATGAGAGAAGAGGGGAGATTTAGGATCTGTGATTCATATGTTTACTAAAATTTGCAGAGTTCTATTTGAAATCTACTCACCTCCTTAAGTCTTCTTGCAACCTCTCCTCCACCTTCACACAGATCTCACCACATGCCTCATCCTCCCCCTTCTGTTCAGTCCTTCCTGTCAGCCTACAAACATCTTCTTTCCTACAAAAGAATCCTCCTTGATTGGCTTTGCACCTCTAGTTATTGATTTTTTACTTTCTCCCCCTCCCCCTCTGGGCTTCTGGAATGAATTATCTTTATTTATTTATTTTTTACGATAAAAAAAAAAATTTTTATTTATACAAGAGCTGGGGCACAGGCCAGAGATGGGGGGCGGTGAGAGGATTCACCAGAGACAGAGTGGGGAGCAGAACAGGTGGACAGACCCAAAGCACTGCTGAGGGGAGCAGCGGGCGTGACAGGAGAGGTCTGCTGCTCCATGTGGGAATCTCCCTGGCTGGCCAGGAATCGAATCTGCACTTCAGAGGCTGCAGACAGCTTCACAGCACTGTGCTTAACCCACTGCGCCACCAGGGAGGCCCTTGGAATGAATTATCTTTATTTACTGCTTCCATCTTCCCAACTCCCGCCCTTTCCTCAATCCATAGCCCTCTGTTGGAAGAGCCCTGGTCTAGGTCACCAGTGACCTCTAACTCTACTGAATCCAGTGGAAGAATTTCAGATCACATCTTATTACTATGCTCCCCTGCTTTCCTGAATTCTCTCCTACTTCTCTGCTTGTTCCTCTTTTTCTCTGTGGACTTTTGGTCAGCAGCTCCTTCTTTAGATATCAGTCTTTGTTTCTTCCTTTATTGTTTCCATTGGTTGGTTCATGGAGCCCCATGGCTCCCCTTTTATGGGATGATTGTCAAATCACTGTCCCCAGGCCAGCCAAGCATCAACTCGAGTATTTAGTTGACTGACCTCTCCACCTGGGGGTCTCAGTCACCTTAAGCTCAACAGGTACCAACTGATTGTGTCATGTTTGCCCTCAAACTGCTTCTTGCATATTTCCTATTTCAGTTGGGAGCATCATGATATACCCAAACCCAAAACCTGGGAGTCATTCTTTGCTCTTTCCTGGATTCCTACATGAAGCCAGTAATCAGGTCCTGCCAATTGACATTACAAGTATTTCTGTAACAAGTGTTTTCCTCTTTGTCCCTGCCACTATTGCCTTTGTTCGTATAGTACCTCTTGTCCGTCAACCATTTTTCCACACTACTGAGTAATTTCCTAAAGTATAAAGTATCAATCAGAAATGAAAGAAGACATAAATAAATGGGAAGCTATTCCAGGTTCATGGATTGTAAGGCTTA